TCACCACTTAATGATATCGCAGTCTGTATGGAAGATGAGGTTTTCCTTTTCATCATGTTATTAGTATTTAGATAATAATAAAAACTACTTATTATTTTAAACGGTTCGAGATTAATAAAGTGACTGAATTGTATTATTTTGCCTTGTTAATGATATTGTTTGCCGAAGAAAAAGGCTTAAAGGTACGTTCTTTCTTACACAATTATGTTACTTAAGCTGACAGAACAATGTGCATCGGACTTTTCTCATCTTATTAAAGAGAATGATAAATTAGAAATAATCAGATTATTCTTTAACTATGATATTCCCGATCTGAGTATCGGTATAACTTTCCATCTCAATGGCAGTTTTCTAGTTGTCGCTGGTAAGTTTATTATATTTTCTTGTATTGATTAGATTATGGCCTTGAAACCTTTATTTTGTTCATAGCTCTTCTAAGCCTTACGGGACCTGTTTAACAACACCTTAGCACTTCATTAAAGTCAACCAGCTCTTAAAATGCGCTCAATTTTTAATATTTCCTCATAGAACGTTTTCTATCTGGATAGACTTTGAAGCTTAGCATTTTCTTTAAATGCCTCCGCCTTTTATAATTTAAAACTGATCATACCCGAATTATTTGAAGGTGAAGATTGCTCCGTCGCCTAAGTAAAGTAAAATTTTTAATTCCTACCATTTAAAATAGATTTCATTTGATTTTTTATGTTTACTATGTATATGTGTGTATATACGTGCTTATCGCCGCCATTTCTCAAGGCCTTTATATTCTTTGCTGTAAATGACTTATTTTTCTAGGTATTACCGTGTGAATCTTATATATAGATTAAGAGACTCGAACACATTATTTTTACTGGGTAACCACAACATCTAATTGTTAGCTTAAATAGTACGGGACTATGCTCGATAAAATTCGTAAATGGTCTTCTGTAAGATTTTTTAATTTTAGGCATCTAGTTGCATATAGTCACTTAATTATAACTTTTTGTGAACTTTTTTTTATTCTTGTGTCTAAATTGTCTATTACCTTTTTAAAGTAATTTATAAATGAATTAGTTTGCAGATTGAAAATGTTTTGGCGTTTATGATATATGGAGTGGGTTACGAGGATAACGAATGCGTGGATGTATCAGGACAGCAGAGATCACAATCACTCATTTTCTTTTTGGACCACTAGCTTTTGATATTACCGTCAAGGTTCACCGATGGTGCCAATCACGATGTGAGCGAAATTTCTGAGAAGCTGTTCCAAGTCCTCAAGGTTATTATGTGTATAGTCACCTTGCGCAACATGTATTTAGGTCGTCTTGCTTACCATTAGGCCTAGTCTTAAGTCAGGAATACATGAATACAACATATATTAGCTCATTGCAGACACATCATAGTCAGCGAAATATGTGCTGAAGACTGCCACAACACAGGCCCTGGAGAAGATTTCCGAATAAAATAATTCGCTATTCCACAATAGAAAAACTTAGTAAATCTCTTCTTTGATCAAACTTGTAATAAATTTGTACACACAATCCGATAATAGTAAAGGATTTCATATTAAAATTGTCTATATTTAAGCATTCTGACTACTGGGGAGCATTATTTTCTTAATTTCATCTAGTTTTTGCGTTGCATATTATGCTTTATACCTTTTCTTGACTCATGAACATGATTTTGGAACTGCGTTAAGATTTACACTCGTTTCATCCTTATGCAAAGCTATCAGCAAATTTTAACATTTATTTTTAAAGTCAGAGTTTACGAATTTACATTATATTTAAATAATTGCCTGGGAGCTGAATATTCACTTTTTGAACCCAATTTTCAAAATAGGTCCCCACCAAGCTATCGAAA